TATTTCCAAGCACCGAACTACTCCGAGCGACTGCTCTGCATTACACGTAACTTACTTTGTAAAGCGGCTCAGAAGTATGTCTGATACCAAATGTACATTCGAAATTCCTACTTACATAAGGCGGCCATGCCTTTGTAAAAGTAAGGGAAGTTCGGCAGGGAAATGGTAATGACTGCCAGGTGAAGAGTAAGTTGCTAATAAGGTATTATTACGTGCTCCTAATTCCCACTGGGTTGTACATACATGTACATTTGTATATATATGCGTGGTACTTAGCAATATGCACGTATGTATGGATGTACTTATATATGCATGCAAAAACGTTGTCAATTAATGGAGCATGTACATATAGATACATATATGTATGCGTGGGAAATGCATTTTCATTTGACTCCAAAACTATTGGGGCATATTAGTAGACGAAATAAAGTCGACTCTTAAGTTAAAGTTTGTCAGCCCCAAATAAGAAGAAAGTTAGTATGTATGTACATACATATATGTAATATTATGTGCATGTGCAAGAACGTTATCAATAAATGATTTTAGAGTATGTGTATTGGGTACATATGTACATATGTACATACATACATTCAGATGCGATCAACTAATTAGCAAGGAAATTCAATATGATATTGTTTGCAAATTATGTTTATTTATTTTTAATGATTTTAATTTAAAATATAATTCAATCTGTAACAAGAACCACAATAATAAAAGTTTAAAAGCTTGCACAAATTGCAAAAAAACGAATTAAACTTCAAGAAATGGTCATCCAAATTTTTAATTAGAATATTTAAAAAAATTTCGGGTACGCGGTATTGTAGTCCATTCAATTATAGTATAAGAAAGTGCAAGTTTCAAGTTGTTAAAAATTACCGTTGATTTTATAGATTTTTTTTTAAGAAAAGGTATTTGCTTAGGTTATATGCATATGGCATATTTTCTCGAAATAAATGTTCATAAAACTCAAACATAACTTTTCGAGAAAAACCACTTTGCTAACAAGTGCAATTGCTTATGTATATGTATTTACAAACATTTTTATGCGCTTGCCTTTTAGCGTGTTTAAAATTTTTTCAATGAAGAATTTACTAATTGTTGACGAAAATATGGTTTACAAAATTTTCGCAAATTTATATTAGTTAATTGGAATTTTTATGAAAATAACGTTTTCCCAAAATTTATCCAGAAATTTTTTGTAATAACTAAAAAAGGTTTTCGATTTTTAATTCAATGAAAGGGGCATTAAAATAACTATCAAAAGTCATTTTTGTTGATAGATATAAACGTGCACAAAAATAACATTTCACAATTGCTAATTTATTCGAATTCTGTTATTTTGTGCCGCTCTGCGCTCACGCTGTTAAAAAATGGTGAGCTTCTAGAGCTATTGATGTTAAAAATTTAACGTGGTGAGCTTCTAGCCGATTTCTGATCTATTACAAAATACCAACGAGTAGCGTGTTGCTGCTTCTCTGTTTTAAACGTTCTCTGGAAAATCCAAACCAAAGCACTTAACATTGATACAAATTAACAAAATTGTATCTCCGCTCAGCTCTGTTAACTTGCCGCTCAGATCTGTTAATTTTCCGCTCTCAATTTTCGATTCGAGTGGTGAGCTTCTAGAGCGATTTTGGTAGTGTTTGATAATTCACACGGCTATTCGTAATTGCTGCTTCTCTGTTTTAAACGTTCTCTGAACGTTCTCTGTAATTGTCACAAACGAAAAGCAAACGTTTCTCGTTGGGGAAAATGACAGTGAATCTTACAATTTGTTTCTGACTATGTACAAAACTGTACAAAACCACAAATGATTTGATGATCGATGAGCGAATGGGAATTGTTTCGTACAGTTTATTTTCGTACCCTGGTTTCAAGGCAGTGTGCAAACCCCTTTTTATTTTAGCAGAGAACGTTTAAAACAGAGAAGCAGCAACACGCTACTCGTTGGTA